ATGGTGCGGGGCCAGGCAGTGTTTTACTCTGCAGTACTCTGTTGGCAACAACTCAACAGCAACTAACAACCACAATAAGATTCTATTATCACTGAGGCCCTCTTCAAACCTTGCAAAGTTGACATGAAGATGTTCACAGACTCTAACTGTGAATATGGTTAATTTATTTAACATTTCAAAGCTTCCAAAATTATAGCATTGGGTTTTCAAAGCATTTCACTACAATAAAACACATCTGTCCTGATTCCTCAATCATGAGCTACCCTTAGGGATAGTGAACAACTGGGTTTAAAGAAAAGATTGAAGAATAGCTTCTTGTTTTAAGTTTGTGTTCCAGTAAGCTTTTTCCCTGCCTATGAAAGAAGGTTGGACAATCTACTTCCGTAATGATACTGCCTCAGAAACCCAAGAAGAGGTCGCTATGAGTTGGGTATGACTCCACAGCACATAACAACAACAATGGAAGTATCATCTACATGCATTTGAGGACCCAGGAAGGTGTTCTAAAAGAATTCATATTTAAAATTTAAACCAAGAAAGTTTGCTTTCTCTAGAGAATTCTTAAAAATACACGCACTTGCATTTAAAGACATGTTTTAAATAACAATTCAGATGTTGTAGTCTGAAGTTGGAGTCACAGATAAGCTTAAAAATAAAATTAAATTAACAAAATATGTTCAGTACCATTGAATTAATGATAACCTCAAGAATTTAGGTCCCATAGGAGAAAAAAAAAACAAAACATACATGTATACATGTGTATTCATAAGGTTTTCCCTGGCCAATTCTTTGAGAAGTGGACGGCCTCTTCCTTCTTCCTAGTCTGTCTCAGTCTATAAGCTGGGCTGTTACCTGTGCACCAGGTGCATTTCGCTGGGTTTTAAACACCAGAGGCTCAGCCTCAAAAACTCACATCTACATGTCACCAGCATGTACATGACGATGTGTAGCATTGGGAAAGTCAACTGCGAAGGAACTGTTTCAAGTGCTGAGGAGCAAGGATATCTCCTTGAGGACTAAGGTGCACCTGACACAAGCCATGATATTTCCAATCGCCTCGTATGCATGTGAGAGCTGGACAATGAATAAGGAAGACCGAAGAAGAGTTGATGCTTTTGAGTTGTGGTGCTGGCGAAGAATGCTGAAAGTACCGTGGACTGCTAAAAGAACTAACAGATCTGTCCTGGAGGAAGTACAGCCAGAATGCTCCTTGGAAGCAAGAATGGCCAGACTTTGTCTCACCTATTTTGGTCATGTTGTAAGAAGGGACCATTCCCTGGAGAAGGATGTCATGCTTGGTAGGGTGGAGGGTCGATGAAAGAGGGGGAGGCCTTCAACGAGATGGATTGACACAGTGGCTGCGATGATGGGCTCAAGTATAGCAGGGATTGTGGGGCTGGTGTGGGATTGGGCAGTGTTTTGTTCTACTGTGCATGGGGTCGCTATGAGTCAGAAACGACTTGACGGCACTTAACAACAACAACAACATACATGTGTATGGAAAAGGTTGAGTCAGAAAAGGTTGGAAAATGTTGTTGTTAGTTGCTGTGGAACTGGGTCTGACCCATGGTGACCTTGTATATAAAAGAGAACAAACTGTTGCCTGGCATTGGCATGTTTGAGTTCATTTTTGTGACTATTGTGTCAACCCATCTCTCTTAGAGTTTCCCTCATTTGTGCTGACCTTTTACTTCACCAAACATGATTCTCTTTTCTGGTGACCACAAAATGTTATCAGGGCTTAAATATGTGATTACAAGAATTGAAGATAACTCACTTCTGCTGTTAACCCACAAAGACACTACCTAAAAACAGGTCTAATTATTATATTCATGACAAACTGACATGAAGTTCAAAATCTGTGACCACTTTGGGTAATATAAATGTTGTTGGCTTAATTTGCCGTATGTGGAATGACAGTATTTTTGGAAGACACATTCTTCTGCATCTGAAATGGAATAGACAACAAGTTCTCTGGTCAAGTTATTATTTTAAATTTAAAAATATCACCTGACTGGGATATTAAGAAATCACAGAGGAAATTAAACATAGGCCATTAGTTTTGCAATCTGTTCAGCCAACTTATAGTTGGAGACAGTAGACCATGATAGAAATCTTCTCTGCCCCTAAGTGCTGCTCAGTCTGCACTGGTTGGCCTCTCACGTTTCCTCATCTCTATGATGGGGGTGTGGCCATGTTAACACATACAGATTGTCAGCTACCGAGCAGGAATAAGTTCTCTCTCTCTCATTTTTCTTTTTATATATGGTTACCTAGTTCTGTCCAATGAGAGGTCTTTTTTATGAGAATTGAAGTAGGCATACTATATGAAAGCATATTGTTGTTGTTGTTGTTGTTATGTGCCATCGAGCCGGCCCCGACTCATAGCGACCCCTCCTTGGGTTTCCAAGGCAGTATCACTACGGAAGTAGGATTGCCCAACCTTCCTTCCGAGGAGTGGCTGGTGGGTTTGAACCTCCAGCATTCTGGTTAGCAGTCAAGTGTTTTAGCCACTATGCTACCAGAGCTCCTATGAAAGCATATTGGAAAAGTATAAAGTATTACCCAGATCTTGGGAAATTATATCCATGAAATTATTCTCCAACATCTAAATTATCTGCCTTGGGGACATGTTAGCTATTTTTTCCCTTCTTCTATTAAGGGAACAAGAGGTAACTGTTCTCTGTCAGAAGATCGGATTACAATTTTAGTTCTTGCAATCACCTACTGTGAGACTTTGGACCATTCATTAACTTTTCTAAGTCTTAATTTCCCCACTGTAAAAAAAATATTCACTGCCAACTTAGAGATGTTAAAGGATAACAGATATTAAACTAGTAAAGGCATTTAAACTCTGCTGAGCTGTAAAATAAATAGTTATAGATCACATATATGTCCTCAACAAAACTTCTTTCTAAACTGGAATGTGATTTAAAGGGGAAAAAAAAAGAAAAAGCCAGCATTCCAGGAGATTGAGACCCTGGCCTCTGTCCTAACAAGAAAAACAACTACTTGTCAACTACCATTTATTGAATTGGCCACCACTTGCTTAACAAACATCAGATTATCCTCACAACTGTCCTACAACATAAACAGCACAATCACCCTCTCACAGGTGTGGAAACTGACTGGAGTAAGAGATAAGAGGGGAGTGCTCAAAGTAACCCTGTGGTAGTGGCAGTGCTGACCTTTGAAGCTAGGCTCTCTGGCTCCATTGCCCACATTTTTTTTGCCACATACTCTACATAATGATCTTGGGCTCGAACCCTTGCTCTACCACTTACTCTGAAGCCTTGGACAAGCTTCTTTACCTCTCTCCAAGCCTCTGCTACTTCATTTGTAAAATGGAAATAATAATAATAGTACCCTCCTCATAAGGTTGCTTGTACAGATTAATTAATTACTGGATGAACACCATCTAGAAAAGTGGCTGCCACAAAGCAAGCATGCAATATATGTTAGCTGTTACATAAGATATCAGTTATCATTGGCCTATACTGCTTCTACTGGACTGTTCACACTGAGTCAGGGATATCTAGGTCCTATATGAAAGGAAAGGGCCGGGCTTATTGTTGCTGGTCAAGCAATGGACTACAGTATGAAAAAGAAGGGTGGATAGTAAATTGGTCATTACCATCTCTCTTTGTTAGACAGCAGGCTCCTTGTCTACCCGAGACTAATAACCTTGTCTTCAGGCCAGGCTTTCCAGCTGAGCCAATTATGGTTTCTAATTACATTCCCACTGATTACTTTGCTGGAATGACCCAACTCCAGTGACTCATGAAGAAGCTTCGTGACCTAAGGGGATATGGGCTCTTCAGAGAGGTTAAATGCCATTAAAATGGAATAACTTTTCTTTTCATACTTCTTTATAAACTGCTTTCATTCATAGAGGGAATTGCTAAGTCCAAAAGAATCTGAATTCCGATTCTGTGCCACAGAGCTGAGCAAATCTGACTCAAGCCACATGATAACAGCAAAATAGGTGAATCTGGGAGGGTCTGCCAGATATGGGTCTATACCACCATGGGGCCATCCCAGCTTTCTGTGGGGCCCCCACCATCTTATACCAGTAACTCATGGCTGGACCAAAATTTATCCATTTTTAGGAGTCTTTCAGCAGATGCTATGAATTGGTTCCACAAAGCTGCACTGAGTCACTGCTATGCGATAAGGCTAAAAACACTTTTAGGTGGATTAATATTTCTCAAATTATGCTATCAAACATTTTCTAGCAAGGAGGAGAAACAGACAATGCCAAGAAATAGATAAATAAGACAATTTAAATAAATAAAAACCTCAATTCATTTCTAGAACTCTCTCTCTCTGAGATTATATTTTAAACTTGTTTTTACTAACTGCCCACAATGACTACAGTAGTGTATGTGCATCTATGTGCACAAGTACTACCTACACTTGTGTGAACATAGTACTGGGCAGAACACTTATAAAAGAAATAAATAAATAACCCTCTTATGAGCCAGCAATTCCCTGAGGTGCTTCCTATTTATTATTTCATTTTGTTGGATTAACCATCCTGTCAAAGATTCTAATCTGCCATTTCTACTCATCTGTCTCTTCTACTAGTACCAGTACACTGCCAACACCTAACTTAGTACCTGAAGCTGATCTGCCTAAACCTTCATATTTCAAGTGGTTGGTCAAAAAGATAGTTATGAATACAAAGAACTGTCACTGGAAGAGTGCAAGCTTCCTTTTTCCTGGGTCAAAGACTGCCAGGAAAAGTAATAATGTGACTCTTGGTAACAGAATTCAAGCCAATGTGCTCTGAAGACTCTAATTGGTTCTACCAACTCACACTTAAGGGGGGCAGATGGTCACCAGAAACAAAGATAAACACATTTATTTTCATGTTGGAAAAAAAAAAAAGACCAGAGTCTAGAAGATTCCCAATTGTTCTAGGAGTGGAACATCTTCCTCTTGGTTGAATTGCATGTTTCTTCCCTCCCTCCCTCTTTCTTTTCCCGTTTTTCAGCTACCTTTGGAGTTACAATTGCAAGGCAAGCAGCGGTCTCTTTCTGTCTGTCGGTAGAACCCTTCCTTGCACCTCTCACAGTGAATGCCATCCGTGTTGTCATTGCAGTTGAGGCAGCGGAATCCATTTCCTGTCTGTCTGTGAAGTTCTTGGTCAAAGATACATTGCCTGGACTTCCCATTGCAATTACAGACTAGGGAGGAGGAAGGAAAAACAGCATTAGGAAAAAATACTCAGGAACAATTTCCCCAGGTGTTTTATTATTAATAACATAAGTTATGCAAGAGTAGTACATATTAATTTAAACTAAGGAAACGAAATGGGCCATGTAGGGTCTGTGGCAGATGGGAGAGCTTTGTTCCACCTAAAGGAAGCAGCCAACAAGCAGTGCTGGTGAGTTGTTGCCTGGAAGAAGGTGATTCAGGGTTGCCAGAATGTCCAATTTCTCAAGAGAAACCAAAAAGTCTGAATTATATGTTTTATGTGAAAGTTCCTGGTTTAAAGATTGGCAAGGAATTCATTTCTAAAACACTGTATAATCCAACAGAACAAGTATGTGGGCTGGAGAAGGCTTGAGGGTGGTCCCTGGAACAAGTGTTTAGCAGATGATGGAGTCATCTGTTCAAGATATACAGCATCTGTCCCTCCAGTGATGGTCAAAGCTGAGAAACTGATATGACTGGCTGGACACAAGTATCTCTCTCTCTCTCTCTCTCTCTCTCTCTTTCTCTTTCTGCATCTTCCATGTTCCTCCCAAAGCCAGGTACTCAAAGAGAATCTTCTTCCAAAATGTCTAGGAAAATTCACCCTGTGGATGAACCAAAGAGACTTGTGAACTGAGTGACATCTCCATGTAGGGCTTAAAACCCCATGAGGCAACATGTGGAAATACTTGGCACAGAACCTGGACAAGAAATGTTTCAGTCAGGGTTTAAAAGAGAAAGGTGATGATGGGCCCTGAGGTTAAAAGAATGGGATCAAATCCCAGTTCTGCTAGTTCCATGGGTAAATCACTTCAACTCTCCGAATCTTGTTTCTTTCTCTATAAAGGTAAACTGTAATACCTGACTCCTCAGATAGTTAAGAGAATTCACTGAGGAAAAAATATCAAATGCTTTGGAATATGCTCTCTCATTCCTTACTCACACGAAACAGGTATTACCTCAGATGAGAAGATGTAGCTCGGAAATGTTAAGTAACTTGACCTGTTGTAGAGTTGGGATTTGAACCTCTATCTGTCTGATCCCAAAGCCTACTTGCATGTGGCCTGTGCCTGGAAGTACCTAGTACCATGACTTACCCAGAGTGCTAACCCTAAAGTCAACAAATGTGCCAACATGTACTGCCCTGTGTTGGACCCTGTGTCAGACTCTGAAGACACAGAGATGACTAAGTAAATCCGATGAGCTTCCTAAATGGCTTCCTAACAATGGCTCCTAAAACTCACTCTTTTGCTGCTTTGGACACCATCTTATACAGGGCAAGTCAACTAACAACTAGAACCTAGTCTGCTTCTAGTACTTTACATTTATCAGCTCAGTTAATTCTCACAATCCTTGAATGTGGGTTTTATTATTGCCATTTATCAAATGAAGAAACTAATGGACATAGAAGGTGGCTATCTTGCCTAATATTGCAGCTAAACAACAAAGGTATAATTTGCTCCAAGGTCTGACTCCAAAGCCCTCACCTTTCCATCTTATGCTGTTCTCAAGAATCTGGTTTACCACTGCATGTAGGCATTCTTCCTATAAGTATATAATAGAGGGTCATTCAGTCTCTTCTTAAATCCTTCCTTGTGTAAGGATGTCCTATTCCTCCTTATAAGGAGCTCTGGTGGTACAGTGGGTAAGGCATTTGGACCAAAAGATCGGCAGTTCAAGCCACCAGCTGCTTGGTGGGAGAGAGGTGAGGCAGTCTGTGTTCATGAAGATTTACAGCCTTGGAAACCCTACAGTGTCACTGTGAGTTGGAATTGACTCAATGACAGGTAGTATGTTTGGTTTGGTTTTTGGTGTCTCCCTACACAGCACTGGTAGTTACAAATTGTTTTCATGGAGTTTTAAATCTTCCTTTCTGTGGATGGCAAAAATGGTTTGCACTCATCTACTAATCTAAAAGTTGGTGCTTCAAACCCACCCTGTGGTGCCATGGAAAAAAAGCTTAGTGATCTGTTTCCATAAGGATTACAGCAAGAATACCTACCCTATGGAGCAGTTCTACTGTGTAACACGTAGGGTTGCCATGAGTTGGAACAAACTCAATGGTAATGAGTTTGGTTTACTGTCTCTGTAATTTAAACTACATGTTCTTTTTCTTCCCTAGAAAACAACACACATGTGTGCATACACACACACCCCTACACTCTTTATTCATTCATTTATTCATCAGACATTTATTTCAGACATTGTTCTACAAGGCAGTCCCTGTTTTACAAGCTCAGTGAGGAGCTCTGGTGGTGCAGTGCCTAGGGCATTTAACTGCTAACCAGAAGGTTGGCAGTTCAAAAACCTACCAGCCACTCTGTGGGAGGAAGATGGGGCAATCTATTTCTGTAAAGATTTACTGCCTTGGAAACCCAACGAGGGTCACTATGAGTCAGAATCGACTAGATGGCAGTGGGGTTTTTTTGGATGTCAATCAACATTTGACTATCTAAAGATAGCAATAGCATCTCTCTCCTTAGTCCTCTCTCCTCCAGGTTAGACTACATTTCTTTCACCTCTTAGTCTTTCAACCATTTCCCATGACATGATTTGTAGATTTCTCTTGACTACACTCTTGAAAACAAACCCTAATTTCCAATATCCTTCTTAAAATGACCAGAATTTATTACTATACTTTAAGTGTGATTTGAACAGCTCCACTTACAACAACAACAACAACAACAACAACAAAAAAAAATCAAGCCAATCCGACTCATGCAACCCTTCTTTGGGTTTATGAGGTGGTATCTCTACAGAAGTAGATTGCCCCGTCTTCCTTCTGAGGAGTGGCTGGTGGGTTTGAACCGCCAGCCTTCTGGTTAGCAGTCAAATGCCTTGGGCACTACGCCACTAGAGCTCCTTCCACTTACAGCATGACTATATATTTTATGGGAGCTCTGGTAGCATAGTGCCTAAGGCACTTGACTGCTAACCAGAAGGCTGGCAGTTCAAACCCACCAGCCACTCCTTGGAAGGAAGATGGGGCAATCTATTTCTGTAGTGATATAGCCTCAGAAACCCAAGAAGGGGTTGCTATGAGTCAGGTCTGACTCAACAGCAAACAACAACAACAACAACTATTTTATAATTCCACAGGTAAAACCTAACATTTTGTTAAACTTACAGTATATTGTCTGTAGTCAATGCAAACTCCATGAGCTTTTACACAGAAGTGGTGCCAAGCTAAATCTTTCCCAACTAATACTGGTTTTACTAATTTTTTTGAATCTTGAACAGATGTGCCACACAGCTGTCATGTGCTGTGAAATTTTGACTGAGTACTTCATTATGCACATACAAGAGCTACATTCACCAGCCAACAATCCTTATGTGGTTACTCAGCTGGATCACCCAATGAGCCAATGCCCTCTCTGCCCTGGATGTCTTATGGAAGCAATCTCAAAATAATTACCAACTTTTCATTGTGTCCTTCTCATTCAGGACATACTTTTTGCTGGTAATAGTTAACTTCATTAGGACCACTTATACATTCATTTAGAATTGTTGTTAATGTGCTGTCGAGTCGGCCCCGACTCATAGCGACCTCTCCTTGGGTTTCCAAGGCAGTATCATTACAGAAGTAGATTGCCCCATCTTCCTTAATAATATTTACAAAATAGACAACCCCATTATGATCTTATACTACCTCTTCCCCCTTCTGTCCTTTGTCCTCTGAAAGAACTGGTGTTCTTCCTGCTAATTCAACCTTCAGCAAGGTTGCACTATAGTTCTAGCAAGGGAGGTCTTGAGCCAGCATCTCACTCTGGAACTTGTGCAACAGGTTACGAGCCTATTGCCAACTGTCCTCTCCCTCAAACTGGTTTCCCTTAAAGCCGAGGGCTATGCCAGCCAGGATACACAGTGCTCATGTCCAGGGAGTATATCAGCCTGGCATGTCTATGTTCTTTGAAGACACTCTTTCTAGCCTGCGAGACTCTTAAAGTTGTCAAGCTATGCTCAAACACAGACGTACTGCACTTAGCTCAATACTGAGTCTTCCAACCATTTCCACCTAGAGAGCGAGGAGGAGGGTTTGTTCCTTGTTCATGGAACGACTCTTCTTGTCATTGATATATTTGACACATGGTTTCTCTCAAATATCTTCCATAATGATACTCATTCTCCTAAAACTAATTAGTATCCTTATTACTGGGGGAATAGAGGAAGACCTTTATTTTTCAAATTCCAGAATATTCCTCCAACTGGGCCTAGTACAACTTCTGCCTGATCTTTTTTATTCTCTGACTGGTTTTTGCCCAACCACTACCATGGGCACACTGTTGCCAAAGAGCAACCCCAGGACAGCTATAAGCCACAGGGAGTTGTGACTGTGCCAAAGGGGCTAAAGGAAGAAGCTGCACTTCATCCCCAGACAATTGTAGCCACACAGGAATAATGTCTGCTGCAACCAGTGCTCCCACATTAGGCTTTTTAAGAAGACAAAAATCCAGCTTTTTGTAGGAAATCTACTGATGTTAGCAAAATATATAAGACAAAATTTCTTGAAGCAAATCTGTGTCCAAGGCAAATCTCTGCACTCGATTCTACACTTGTACACTTGTAACAGGCAGAAAATACATCCCATTCATTAGGAAAAGGAAAAATGAAGTCCTCCTATATGCACAGCTCCTAGTCCCTAGTAGATATTCCATATTTTTTAAGCAAACAAATGAGTGAAAGGTCTCTTGAACTTCAAGAAACCACTAGATGTGTTCCCACCATTGAGAGGACTCCATGGTTTTCCCCACGTGTCTGGACATGCCTTAATAAAAACACAAAGGTCTAACAATCACTTTCTTCCCCATTCCTCAATAGAATGCCTTTCTCCACAGGAACCTAACCCAGAAAACATCCTTCCTTGGTAACTTATAATACAATGCTTCATTTAGCTTAACAGACCCAATGCAAGCCTATCATACATTTTAAAACAAGAGGAAATTCCAAAATTATTTTTACTAATTTTATAGTTTCCTTCTCTCACATTTAC